TTGACTGCATGTTTGCACTGACATGTAACAAGATCAATTGTATAACCATTTATTCTACAATAATCGATTTGCCCTGGTGAACATCCACACTTGCATGTAGATTTATTCCATATCAAATTACCTGGGCACTGTTTGTATGGGATGCATTCACATTGACAAAGAAAATCCTTAAAGATATAGTCACCAGAGCAGTTACTGCTGTTTATATTGCACACACAATGGCAGTTATCTGGAATGTATTTGTGAGTTTTAGGATTGCACTGGTCTTTGGTTATAATGCAGTCGATTTGGCATTTAGTGTGGTCATACATTGTAGCATCTTTTATCTGTTAACCAAGAAAATCAAGTTCGTTAGGTTTCCTTTATCGAAAACCCATTGTGGATGTCACAGAGAAAATCAACACTTTTTGATGTATGTGTATGTGTGRATCTCAAACAGATTCATATTATTACAGTTTATACAACTTTTCAGTAAAATCAGACGTTTTGATTGGTTGGCTTTCGTGTGTTATCAAAGTATAGATACACGGATTACGTCAAAACTAATTACATGAAAACTTCAATTGCTTTTTGACCAACACTTTCATTATCTTATGATTGAAATGTTCTTGTCTTTTTAACAGGTTATTGGAAATAATCGCGTTGCCGTGCCAACACATTTTTTTAAAGTCATCCTGACTGAAAGTAATTCAGAGAAATATGAAATGCAGGTAACTATAATGAACTCATGATGATAAAACTGAAAACTTTACACCAGAAGATCTGAATTATTCTAATAAAATACAATTATTTTCAATTGGTTGAGTTTCCCTTCTCTTGAATGTCACCCTCTAATGTAAGCTTGTATCTTTGTAGTCGTACATTCTTCCCAATCAACAAATACATGAGAAAACAGCACTGCATATGTTTCAAGTCCCAGTAGAGACCATTGAAAAAGCTTCTGGTCTGGTTATATTTGATAAACTACCAAGAAAGAGCATAAAAGTAGTTAAGCCAATCTTTTGAAGGTAGCTATGCTGCATTGTGATAAAAGTAGGTTGTACTAAAATTTTCTGAATTTTAAACACTTCATTTATTATTATAACTCCTTCATTACTGATATTACAATAAGTTCTCCCAGTAAAATATTAAATAACTTCATATGATTATATTTTTCCTAACAAAGTTTATATTGCATCGACATTGTTATTTTTTGATTTGTAAGTGGTTTGTGCTTTGGTGGTAGTGGGTGCTTTGGTGGTAGTTGGTGGCTTAGTAGTAGTAGGTGGTTTAGTTGTGGTGGGTGCTTTGGTGGTAGTTGGTG